CCTGCGCAGCGGCTGCCTGCTCTGCCTGCATGGTGTTTATTCTTTTTTTAGGGCGAAATGATCAAAATGAAGGACTAGAGGGATTTCCTTAGGGCAGTCAGACCCGGGTGCTGCTGGGGTTTGCACAAGGTGGCACCAGCGTTATTTTCATCACTTTTCCACCATGTTCATGTCCCTGCCTGGAGAAATTTGGGCTGGGCCAGCTTTGGTGCAGGGGGACAGCACTGTGTGGGTGACATCCCTGTGTGGGTGATGGGTGACAGACCGTCCATGACACCACTCTTACAGGCAGCCCATGGGGACAGAATGGGTCTGGGGCAAAGGATTTAGCCACCTTCCCCATGTGATCTGGGAGCTAAAAGCAGGAGGAAAGCCTTCATCATGGATATTTAGTGGGATCTGCCAACCAAAAATTAGCCTAGATCTGTCTAATTCTTGCTAACGAGCCTCTGGAGAAACTCAGCATCCTTTTCTCCGCGCATTTGGAAGCAGGGAAGTACCCAGTTATGTCCGGTTTCTATGAGTGGGTCCGTGCTGTTTCAGCCGGTGCCTTGACGTGGGTGACCTGTGCTTCGGGCTCCCCAGGGGCAACATCGAGGTTGGATGCAGCTTCAGCACCCTCGCCTAGCCTTGGACAGCCCCTGAGCATCCCTCCTCCCCGTATGCCCTATCTGATGCCGAGGGCAGGTTTGGTGACGCTGGAGTCACTGGCTGGGGAGCACAGTGATGCTGGGGAGGTCTTTCACCATTTTTTATGCATGAGAGAAAGCCAGCCAGGCTCTTGCTACCCTTGTGAAGGGGTCTGGGGGCTGAAGCACAAGCTCCTCCTTGCTGCAGGGCTGGACCGCTCCTGCCTGGGTCTGCTCTCCCTGCTCCGGGGCTCGGGAGATGCGCTGGAGGGGGGGTGCCCAATGCTAACCTGCACTCTCCATCCCCTTCACAGCCTACGCCAAGGGGCTAGCTCCGAGCCCGGAGCCCGGGAGATGCGCTGGAGGGGGGGTGCCCAATGCTAACCTGCACTCTCCATCCCCTTCACAGCCTACGCCAAGGGGCCAGCTCCGAGCCCGGAGCCCGCCGAGCCCCCCGGTGCCATCACACTGCCTGTGAGCTACCGCCTGTCCAACACCCGCTTGGCCTTCTTCCTCAAGGAGGTGGGAGCCAGCCCGGTGGGCAACGGCAGCGCTCCGCTGCAACGTGCCGAGCCCTTCGTCGTCTTCCAGACCAAGGAGCTGCCCGTCCTCAACGTCACCCTGGGGCCCTTCAGCACGGGGCTGGTGCTGCCCAAGGAGCAGCTGCAGCCCTCCAGCACCCTGGAGGTCCCCGACCGCCTCACCGTCAACTGGAAGGTGCGCGCCTTCATCATCCAGCCCCGGCTGGTGGCCAACCAGCCCGTGGTCCAAGTGCTCTTCTACGTAGCCGGCCGGGATTGGGATGACTTCGACGTCACCGACCGGCTGCCCTGTGTGCGGCTCCACGCTTTCCGCGATGCCCGTGAGATCAAGAGCTCGTGCCGCCTGCGGGGCAGCCTGGCCACGTGCCTGGTGCAGGCAGAGCTGCCCCACGCCTGGTTCGGGCCCCC